GGCTGCTCTGCTGCAGGTCCGAGAACCCGCTGAGCCGCTGCGGCCGAGCAGTTTCTCGCCGATCGAGGAAAACCCGGCGGATCCAAGATGCCGAAGCCAGTAAGTGCGCGCGTGTCTGGACTGCGCGGCGCGGCGGCTTTTGCTCGGGGTTGCTACCTGGGCGGGAGCAGGGGAGACCCAGGTAGACCCGGGTGCTCTTTTTCCAGGGATCCGTGGGCAGGAGGAGGCGGTGTCCTCTTTGTCGTTGACCTTTTTGTGAAGCTCTGGAAGAAAACGCGATGATGATCCTGGGCTATTTACTTACAGCCTTTGTGTTTGCGACCCCCGCCCCCCCCCCCATATTTATGGTCTTGTAAAAATGAGTGCAAATTTTGCCAAAATTAGCATCCTCCTTATACTGCGGCAGTTCGTTTTAAAAAGTGATTGTAGTGCGACTTGGAAGTTTCTTGAGGAGTTCGAAGTCGCCTGGAGATCAGGTGGCTCGCAGTGACACACCCCAACGGCCAGTCCCTTTCATTGTGCGAACTTGGGTTCCTGCTTTGGCCCCGCGCGGGGCGCCTGGGGTGAGGCCGCCTCTGGCCGGCAGCTGCGTGGCAGAGGGCCCTGGAGTAGCTCTGGGCTCCGGGAATGTGCTGCGGGCAGCTGGATTCCTATCTCGGGAGCTTTGGTAATGCCCTGGAATTGCAGATGCGGGAAGGCCGCCCTGGAGTCTGATAAGGAGGCTCCTTGGGCCCCAGGCCGTGCTCTCCCTGCCACATCATAATCCCTCATAAATACCAGCTGATCAAAGGGCTGCTGGGCGGCACCCCTGGCCCCCCATCCATCAGGTTGCCGGGCAGACTGCTGGCCAGGCCAGAGCATTCCGGACTGGCTGCGGCAGGGCCCTAGAAGGCTGTGTATGCTACCCGCTTGGACACAGGTGGGCTGGTGCTTGTTAGGAAGAGGCTTCCCTCTTTTTAATTGAGTTTACATTCACAGTGGACAAAATACCACAGTTTGCTAAAAATTGCAGCGGAAGGTGCAATTTTATTTCTAGTTTTTCAAACAAGTTGGTTCATGCTTTTTTTTTCAGCCATCAAATTTTTCATCCTCTAAAAAGTTCTTTATTAATCAAGTCCTACTTTACTGCTAATTTAAATAAATTAATCTTAAACACACTAATAGATTCAGAAGCCATTACAGTTTTTTTGCCTGAGTTACATCATGGTCATGATTCATTCATGATCCAGAAATTTTTTCCTACACAAATTCTTTTCATTTCAAACTTGCAACCGACACGCTGTCTGGGCTTTGCTAACTGAACTGAACGTGGCCCAGGGCAGAGTGGCTGAGCTGTGCTCACAGCTTATTGGCCCTGGTGTGCTTTTCTTTATTTCAGTAAGAGTTCAGCTTTTACTCTGCCACTCAGAAAAAGTCAGGAAATGAGTGTCCAGTGACATTTTTCTCTTTTCTCATAATGAATTGAAACTTATTCTCTCTCTATATATTTTGGTGGTGCCGGTAAAACTACAGTCAGCATCCTAAGTATGTATAAGTACACAGGTCACTGGCGCTAAGCCCATTCACCGTGGTGTGGTGGGTGGTCCCCACCCTCCGTCCCAAGAACTGCTCTCCCCACACCTGGGAAACACCGCCCGCCCTCTGCATCTCTCCATCCGCTCCCCCTCCCACCCCAGCCCTCACCCTGGGCCTTTGGCCTGAGTGTGAGACTCAGCATCTCACCTTCTGGGAATCTGACTGTGGCCTTTGGTGACTGGCGCCATGTCCTCCAGGGCCTTCCTCCCATAGCCCTCCCTTGAGTTCTCTTTCTTACTTCATTTTGCTGTAAAGGTCTTTCCGTGTGGATGAGAAACTTAGAAAATGTTCTGACAGAGGAAGAAGATAGTTGTTAGACTTAATTAAGGCAGGCAGCGTCCTGTGTTAGAGTCCCAATTAGCAGGACCACACTGACAGACCATATATTATATAATGTCTACAGCTATGGAATTGGAACGGTGTTGAGATCTGCTTTCAGGTCAGCCTAAGAGGCGGAAAGGCCTCTCCCTGCCCCACGGCTGAGGTGGGGGAGGGCCCTGGAGTGTTTGGCTCAGAGGGTAAATTGGGAAGCCTTGGCCTCCCCCAGGTGTTAGGAGGTGCCCGAAACACAGAGCGGCTGGACCTTACGGCTGTTACAGAGTATCTAGTTCTGTTACTGTTTCTCTGGCTCAGTGGTTCCAGCGTGGGCTGTCAGGCTGGACACATGTGTCCTTACCTAGGGGCTTGTTCCCTCTTCAGATCTAAGCTAGGGGTTTTGTAAGGCGGTTTCCTTGGGATCTGGGTGTTTAACAATACAACACTGTGGGAGCAAATGGCTAGCCTGGACGTTGGCCACACCCCAGTGGCAGGGCCGGGGCGCCCGGTCTCCACTGCTCTGCTGAACCTTGAACGCCGAAGGCGAAGAGTTTTTGATTGATTTACCCCAACGGAAGCAGCGGCTGCTTTCACACAGAATAGTAACATGAAATCTGTTTGCCGAGTTTTCCCGCTCTGATGCTGCTCCCAGGTCACCACATGCTAACAGCAGAGCAAGCTCTGAGTGTGGTCGGGGGCACGGGCCTGCACCGGTGCTGAGAGGCTTCCTGCACCGGCCCAGACTCTGGCTCACACTGAAACAGGAGCCGGAAGTTAGCCGAGTGCCGTCGGAGGGGAAAGGCTTAGGTGCGGTGCCACACAAGAGGAAGCCACCAGAGAAGTGCGGGCGGCCGGGGCCGGCTGGAGGGGGGCCGCCCTCCTGGGAGGGACGGTGTGTCTGGGGCTGCCTTTGCTCTTTGCACCGCCTTGGCTCTGCCCACGGGTGACTCTGGCTTCTGAGGAGGATGACTTGGGTTCCAGAAGGCTCTGTGCTCCCCTCGCTGGCCTGTCCGGCCGCTGGCCCTTCTCCTGTGCAGCGGCCTGGCGGTGGGCCTGTGCCCAGGGTCGGCCGAGGGAGGCCCATGGAGGCTTCCCTCCTCTCTCCTCGCCATCTTGGCCCGGATGGCAGACAGGAAACCACAGTCAAGTGCAAGGCCAGCCTCTGACACTGTCCTCCCAGACCAACGTCTGTGACCCCAAGCAGCACCGTGCTTATTCCTGGGGTGCTGCTAGGGGCGTTTCACAGATAGAAGTAGATCCCCCCTCCAGGAGGGAACCGCTAAACGTCCGCCCAAACCCTCAGGTCCTTTCTCAGATGACCTGGCCTGCCGGGGAGTACGTGGTCCCTGGACCGGGTTTTAGGGAGTGTGGCTGGCTCTGCCCTGAGCTCCGTTCCCCATGCCGCCGGCCTCGGTCCTCGGGTGCGCCGCCTGCTGCCAGGGCCGCTGGTGAATTAGGCAGCCAGGATTTCCCACGTGGCGGTGAGGAGTGGCGCCCAGGATGACTCACCGGCCTCGTCCTACGAGGCACAATGGCTCGGTTTGTCCGTCCATCCATGACTTCAGCAGATGTTTACTGGGTTACTATGCTAGATGCTGAGGCGACTGAGGTGAGTAGACCCAGAAGTAGCCCGTCATCATGGATTTACAGTCCGGTGAGGGTGCACACAATAATCAGAGATTGTGTGGTGGGTGGTGGTTGGGGAGGGCCAACCCCAAGGTCAGAAAGGCACCCCCAGGAGGTGATGTCTCTGCCCAGCCATGTAAGGTATGCTGGGCGTTCGCCAGCAGGAGGAGGGAGGCAAGGAACACTGCAGGCAGCGGAAAGGACTGTGCCAAGGCCCTGGGGTGGGAGTGAGTCGGGGACGTAGCTTTGCCCATGAGGACCAGTGTGGCCAGCAGGGAAGGCCACTTCTGCATAGGCCTGACTGGGCAAGTTTTGACTGGAAGGAGGCGACCTCATCAGATTGCTCTTTTGAAAGGTCAGGGTGTGGGAGGCAGCGCGAGGCAGAGTGGCACTGGACCAGCGCTGGAGCAGCGGGGGTGGGTGTGCACCTGCCCGCTGAGCCTGGCAGGTCAGCATGGTGTGGGTTCAGGACGCAGCCCCCCATGTCACAGGCTGACTTTTTGGGGTTGAAGCCAGTGGATGAGAAGGGCCCGCGCAGTCACATAGGATTTTCGACTGGGCCGGGGAGCATGGGTGCCCCAACCCCGCTTTGTTCCAGGCTCACCTATATTGGGGAGGGAGACTTGTGAGGACCTGGTGATGGGTTGGCTGTCCCAGGCAGAGGGGGTGACTTCTGGTATGCCGCTTGAGGGGTGGCCGTGCTGTGCCCCGAGATAAGGAACGTGGAAGAGGACCAGGTGTGGGAGGAAGGTGGAGACTTTGGCTTGTATGTGTTGTTAGTAGATTGGCAACTGTGCGGGGTGAAAGAAGTTCTTCTTTTCTTTCATATCTGTAACTACTGCTCCCGGTACCAGACTTGAATGGCAGCATTTCAGGACCTCCTGATCTGAGCCGGGCAGCCGCTGGGTCTCCTGGGTGAACCCGCAGACAGGTTAGGATCAGCTTGGTTCGCAGATGTTGGTACCCCAGGATACTACTGACGGCCCTTTTCTAGAGTGAGACCGAAGCTTCCCCAGCTGCTTCTAATGCACCCAGAGTTTGGGAAGTGACGATCTTGCAGGGCTTTGATCGGTTCCCTTCTTGCACACAGTGAGGTCCGGGAGGGTCAGGCCTGTGGCTGTGTATGGTGTAGCCAGGCTGGGCGGGATTCCAGAGCTCTCAGGCTGGAGCAACACACAGTTGCCTTCTTCTTTTAGATTTTTTTTAAAATTTATGCATTCAAGAACTGGGGGCGGGGGTGAGAGGACTCCCCAGAGACAGAGTAAGGAGCAGAATAGGCAGATCCACTGAAGTCCACTGCTGAGGGGAACAGCAGGGAGACAGGAGAGGTCTGCTGAGCCCCGTGGTCACTCCCTGGCTGGGGATCGAACTTGTGGGCAGGGGACAGCTTGATAGCCCTGAGACTTAACCCCTGCACCACCAGGGAGGCCTCTCAGTTGACTTCACAAGGTTCCACCTTAAACTCGAGAGTGCCACTCTTGGTATTTGGGACATGGCTGGGTGGGGAAAAGGAGGTATCTGGACAGATACCAAGCTCCAGAAAGACAGGCCGGCTAAGCGATAATATCTCCCGGATTTGAACT